GATCCTGGAAATTCTTGATCTGAGATAAGTCCCATCAAGAATAATCTTACTTATGGGCTTATAATTTTTCATCTAGTCCTCCTCTAAGAAAGTCACGTGAGTGCTCATTAAGACCATCTTATCCTTTGGACTAAACAAGATCCAATTCTCGGTTCTCTTAGGTAGCCAAAAGATATGCATACTCAGTACAAAAATTCCATCTTTTTTTACCGCTATCATAAAATGTGTGCTGGAGCACCCTAAATCTGAATATGGTTGGAACTGGGTTTGCATCATTTCCTTAATTCAATAGGTGTCTTTACAAGAGACTTTGATGGAACTAAGTTAAAAAGGTACATTATCTTCTCCTAGGCATCGCCCTAGAATGATATTGTCAAGAATGAATAACTAAACATGAACTTCACTAAGTCCATAAATGTTTATGTTTTGCATTCTACAACTTTGTTTAACTAATGTGTCCTAGAGTTGACAATTATCCCCTATTAGGTAAAATACGAACTTTCCAGACAGGTATTTATGACCTCAGTTAGGCCAAAGTGTTTTGATTTGAACACCTAGATATTTTTATGTCTTAGACTTTAACCTCTTGGAATATTCCAAAAACTTTAGACTCAAGGCTAACTAGGTTCATATGTACAAATTCAGAGTAATCATTAATATAATAAATGACTAATAACCTCTTCTGGCTTGAACGCTTATGGGTCCACATACAATAGTATGTACCAATTCTAGTTGAATAGTTGTACAAGTGTAACACCCCGTCCTAGAACCGGTTTGTTAACATCGCATTATGATATTAAGCGCAGTTACAATCACATGGGTTCAATTAAAATCCGGATAAATTTTTCATTTTAAAACATACCGAATTTATAATACCCAATTCCGTGATCATAACCGTATTACCTTGCGGAATCATATAAATTAAGCTTAACATCATGTTCTTATTCTATTTTTAAACCATTAATTTACTTCTTATTTAGTTCACAACTTCTACTATATCGTAGATCTCTTCACTAGCGATGCGTGGCTTCAAACCGCGCTCAAATCGGAGCACCGTAGCCCAAGTTAGGATAATTTGAAGCAACACAAGAGAGTGTTGGTCACAGGCCCCGCGCGCTTCAGCGCGCTACCGGGCGCTCAAGCGCGCGCTATCGGGCGCTAAAGCCTCCATCTGGGCGCTTAAGCGCACGGAGGCAGGAAGCATCAGGTATTTCAGTGTGGATGGGCGCATAAGCGCGCATCAGGGCGCTCAAGCGCGCTATCCTGGGCGCTCCAGCTCCCATTGGGACGTTTTAGCGCGCAGAGACAGAAGCATCTCCTCCTTCAGTGGCTAAGGGCGCTCAAGCGCGGACCAGGGCGCTCAAGCGCGCAACCCTGGGCGCTTAAGCCCCACCCTGGGCGCTAAAACTCGAGGGGACAGTAAGCATCCCATCTTTCTGCAGCAAAGGGCGCTTAAGCGCAAGCCAGGGCGCTCCAGCGCGCAATCCTGGGCGCTCCAGCGCGAGGAGGCCGAATGCATTGGCACTCACAGGGGCAGCAGGGCGCTTGGGCGCGCTCCTGGGCGCTTAAGCGCGCTGCCAGGGAATTCCAATTCCCACATTTCTCAAGTCCTAGTCTAGGGGAAGATGCATCCCCATTCCAAACCCCAATTGTCCATGCCCCAAAACTAAATCCTAGCACTCATCCAACCTCTCCTCATGAGATTTAGCTAGAATTTGGGCAGCATGACCTTTGTTTTCTCATCGTTTCCCAATTTAAACAAAGGGTACCTAATTGATTTTCAGCCCAACCAATTCAACAACTCTATACATAACAAGCATGCATATATTAAATTTCAAGTAGGCATCATTTACATTACATATCCTTTACAAATCATGGAACTTAGCTTACAAAACACTATGATCATTCCCTTGGCTCCCATCAACAAAAGGTGTAACCCAAGGCATGAGCATAGGCTAAGTTCATCCAATGAATCAAGATATACAAATGACCATGGGCTTTCAAAATAAAATCCTATACATGTCAACTACAAAAGGCATGCATAAACTCAAAAGAAATGCCACATTTCATGCATAATCCAGATATGGCCACTTGCCACCAGAGGCTCCTGCAGCATCCTTACCTGAAAGGGGGTCCCCACAACACGGGGTGAGATATACGAATATATCCAGTAAACCAGGGGTCCTTGGAGCATCTCTCCACCCCACAGTTCCATATCAGTGTAATAGCAATAACAATAATAATGCAGTAAATACATATCTATGCAAAGTGCAATACATCTCCAGGAGAAATCCCTCGAGCTCTCAAGCTGTCCTAAGGAAACTCAGATGCAAATAGTCCTACTGGCCAGCTAACTACCAAGTATGATTTACGCATCGTCATGCAACATACCACATAGGGAAACACCATCCTATGCCACACCAAATGCATACACATACGTATAACAAAGCATTACACTATTTCATTGCATTTATATACACAATCACAACCACTACCCTTTCAGGGCTTGGTAGAACAGTCAAGGGAATTACACCCAAGGTCCGAAGGCTTACCTCAAAGCTTCCGTTCAACCTTTGTTCACCACCAACGGTTCAGTAACCAATCAACTTTGGTTTCAACAATAACTCACAAGTAACACACCTACACCAAGGTGCCATAGCATCAATCATACTATACAATGAATATTCATATATACTCAATAATACCACAACAACTCTACATCCCAACTTAGCAAGAGCTTACCTATTCCAAGGAGCTAATCAAGCTCCATAGTTTGCTCCAATGGTTGATCACTCACGGTTGGTCCAAATGTCTCAATCCTAGACATCACAAGGACACAATCAATCATTCAACTCACTAATTGTTCAACATGCTAGAATACTAACCAATCCAAGCATAAACTTTCCAATATTATGAACAATTATCAAATGACTATCTAGGCTCATTTCCACCGATTAAATGCCATTCCTAGCATTTCTTATAACATGCACTAAATCTCATTCTTCCTAGAACATAGCAAATTCAACTACATTTCATCAAAATCCCAATTTACTATTCATAAACCCTAACTCATGCAAATTTCAAGGAATCATGAGGTTCAAGGGTTAGAATCTTACCACCAATGGTCACACAACTAAGCAAGGAGTGTTCCTCAAGCTCCCATGGAAGTTGAAGCACTCAAAACCCCAAAATCTCTCAAATGGCCGAATTTTTGAGAGCCAATATCTCACCACACAAAGCTCCCCACTTAAAACTAAGCTTGGATTATGAAAGAGGGCGAGATTCTAAGCGATTTAGGCTTTTGAATCACCCAAAACGGTCAAGGTTTGATCTCTCTCTCTCTTCCTCCCTTCCTTCTCCCTCCCTTCTCCTTCTTCTTCTTCTTCTTTCTATTTTCTTTCTCGACGGGTTGCAGGGGGGAAATGGGTTCACTTTTGGCTTTTGGTCACTTAACATTGGTTAAGTGGCTTTAAGCGGGTATTGGTTCGTCTATCTATTCAACTCCAATAATTACCAAACTTTACCCAAAAGTCTGGAATATTATTCTAGGAATATTACTATTTTTATTTTTATATTTTGGGTACTTTCACCAGTACCCATTATACCCCTTAATTTTCACTGAGTACACTTTTTAACTCCAAAGTGACTCAGATTCATTTAATTAAGCATTATACTTAATTTTACCCAGTAAAACATGGTTAATTAATTAATTACACTAGATTTACTAATTAATTAAGTTGGGCTATTATAATAAGTCCCTTAAACCTTGTAAGATTACTTGGTCATTTTACCTTTCAAATAGGACTTATATGTGGCTTTTAGTTCAAAGCTATGGAACTTTCAGTCCCTCTTTTAACTAAACCATGTTTCCTATTTGAGGTCATCTGACTCAATCACAAAGGCAGAGATATATTTCATTTGGGATTCTTGTTTCTTTGGTGAATGTTCTTGTTCATCATCTTTTCAATTCAACATAACAAATTCAATGGGGTAAATGACTCAAGTAATAAAGACCATAGAATGTACCAGAATTAAAATGTACTATCAAACCATGTTTATACAAACAACTAACGAAAATAAAATTTCTTTTCAAATTCGGAACAAACAAACAGTCATCCAAAGCTGAAGTCCTTAAATTATCAAAAGATAAAATAACTTATCCTACTGCTGATGCAGACACAAACTCCTCGTCTCTAAGCTTAAATTTGTTTTCTCCAGTGCTAACAGACCCTTTATGCTTGAACTAGTGCTAAAAGCAACAAACATAGTTAGTTGTTCCTGGATCATTGATTCATCCACTAAATAAGCCTTAAATTACACATACCTAGTTCTTTTCATCACCTTCGGACAATCTTTCTTCTAGTGTTCATTCAGTCTGCACTTGAAGCAAGATCTAAAAAATATAATGATGAATCTAAAAAATATATATTAAGAAATAAAACATATACTTAAAAAAAAAAAAAAATCAAACCCAAAATTATTTTCAATGTGCATCAAGATCTAAAAAATAACTCTTTACTTAAACACTTTGCATAAATGATAAATCTAAATGTTTTTTTATTTTAAAAAAGGGAAAAATGTTTGTTCTTTTAAAGAATATAATTTTGTGTTATTTTATATCAGAATCGTTGATTTTCGCCAATCAACAATTATAATTTATTCGGTAAAATTTATTAATTAATTAGTAATTCGTAATAAATTTATTAATTAATTAGTAATTCGTAATAAATTATAACCATTGATTGACGAAAATTAATGGTTAGGATCTAAAATGACATAAAATTATATCATTTAAAATGACAAATGTTTACCCCTTTAAAAAAAATTAGAACAAAATAACACAAAATCAACGTTACGAGTAAATATATCTTTATCATGTGGTATGAAGACAGGGTTGAACACCATAAGACCTGGGAATAGCTATGCCAACCCAATATGTATAAAGAACAGACACGGTACAATTTGACCTAAATAAAAACTGGTAAATATTTACCATACAGATTAAGGTAATTATATATTTAGGGACTTGAACAAAATCTTAAATTGTGTAACTTATTTACTAACCTTAGATTAGGAAAGACATAGACAAAAGTAATAATACAGAAGAACAAATGTTCAAGATATGGTGGACGCAAATAAAGTGCTATCGTGCATTGTCTAAGTAATATTCTCTACCAGAGGATTAGTTGCAATTTCCACAGGATCCCCATAAGAACTAATGAAGTCACTCGATATTGTTTGGTCAGAGTAGATGCTTTGATCCTCTGCAATCGTTTCATGTGGATACAGAGAAGGCTTCGGAGGCATTTCCAGGCTTTCAACATCTCCTTCAAGCATCTCCACTACTTTGCTCATTGAGGGGCGATCATCTGGCATCAATTGTATACACCAAAGCGCAACTATGATCATCTTTTTTGCTAATTTCTTTTCCTCCTCTACGATATCTTCCATTTCTACATCTTCCTCTTTTCCAAGTTGATCATAAATCCACAAAGGAAAGTAAAGCTGGCTTGAATGCTCCGCATGGGGATTCAAGTTTTTCCTCTTGTTTGCCATCTCCATCAAAAGCATTCCAAAACTATAGACATCAGCCTTATAGGATACTCCCCCAATATTTTTGTAGAACAGTTCTGGAGCTATATACCCAATTGTTCCTCTTGCTGCTGTCAAAGTGACAATGCTATTATCTACCGGATATAGCTTTGCCAGTCCAAAGTCAGAGACCTTTGGGGTGAAGTTTTCATCAAGCAAGATGTTGTAGGGTTTGATATCAAAATGCAAAATTTGCATCTCACAACCATGGTGGAGATAAGCAATCCCACGAGCTACTCCGATGGATATATTATATATTTTGTCATAACTTAAATGTATACTTCCTTCTTTAGAGAAAATGAATTTATCGAGAGATCCATTGGGCATGAATTCATAAACAAGAGCTCGTTTTGAACCCTCAACACAATATCCAATGAGTCGTACCACATTCAAATGATGTATCCTCCCAATGGTTGCCACTTCACTAATAAAGTCTTGCCCATTAGCTTTTGATGATTTTCCCAACATCTTTATTGCCACATAAGGCCCGCTACGTAGCTTCCCCTTGAACACACAGCCATAGCCTCCTTCACCCAACTTGTCTTTGAAACCTCTAGCCATCTTCTTGATTTCTTTGTATGAGTATCCAATTGGCATCAGGTTATTTTGTTGCAGATATTCTTCAATATTTCCATACACTGAAAAACGCCTTTTTCGCCACACGTGTATGAAAAGCGCAATAAGTAATGTCACCCCAAACAGAAATCTGGCTGCCCAGAATGATGGTAGAACATAGCGTCCCGTTCTCAATCCTAATTTATAGTCCGTCACTCCTTCAAATTCTGAATTTTTTCCTTTTATTATTTCAAGCAGTCCTGCTAGGCAATATCACCAAAATAATCGAAAAGGAAGAAGATATATATGTGTAGCAGCCAGACTTTGCTATGATCCAAATGTTGTTATTGGTTGAATCAAAGTAGTAAAATCACCCATGTAATTAAAAGTCAATAGCAATTTATCATAACGAATATTCTGGTAAAAAAATCATGCATGAATCTGATTAATATTTTTCATAGAAGAAAGGCAGAGGAACTAACCTATCAAGACAGCTTTGAAAGTATCTGCAAGAAAATTTTACTTGAGTGAATAAAGGTTCTGATAAAGAATGGTTAAAGTACATTGTCAATGTCATAATGGAATGAGTAAGAAATTTATTAAATTATATTATATTACAAAATAATTTTGTAAAAGCAAGTGATGCATTTTTCTATATTAAACACAGTTGCTCATACACTATCATATGTAGTTATTTAGACTGCAGTTACAGTAACAGTAATTATTTCCATTCTATCATTTAATCATGTGCTGTTATATAAATAATGAATTTGACATCATATATGTTTTTAAATTTAATAAAAAATGTAGAAACAAACTTTTAAATGATAGAATTAATGAATCAATATAAATTTTTCGTCGTTATATGCTGTATAAAAGCATAGCTAAATTAAGGTGATAAAATTCTTACCTTTGGCATATGCTCGCAGCTGAGACCATATCCCTAGATTACCCCAAAAATGGAAGAAAATATCAAAAAAAAATTAAATCATTAGCATAACATCATAATCAACTGAATCAAATTAGTAAATATTAATTCCTTTACCGCATCGACCGCTCCAATATCCCAGAAAATTATGGCACATCCGTGAGTCGCACCCAATTTGCTGGCTGGAAGTGTTGAAGAAGCATGAGCTCCGATGTTGCCGATTTGAAGTTCCACAATGATCCTCACACAGAAAATGCAACCATGAAATCTCAAAACCATTGACTAGGGACATGTGCATCAAAGTGTAGGAAAATATATTTGTATCCAAACCAGACCAAGATGTGGGAGAAACCAACATAACATGGCAACCAACTTCAAAGTCCTCAGCTTTTAAGTCGCCAGCTACAGCGTAAATATAGCCATTGGAGTGGGATTTGATGCAGGCAGAAGTATCCACATATTTAACATTGTCAATCACTGGATATGTACAGTTCAAATAAACTATATGCTGAAAAAGAAGCTCCTGATTATAGGAGCCAGTTGACAAACGCATTTCTCGAGCGGCATGGTATGGATCCGTGACATTATCATAACTATAAGTATCAGTGAAATTAGATTGAGACAAGAAATAACGAGGAATGGAGGAGCAATTAGCGTCTTCAACGCCGGGATCAACAAGTCGGATTGTGAAATTGTTGTAGTTGATGGCCTGCACATGGTATTTAACAGAGTACAAATACAACACTGTCACATTATTTTCACATCCTAACTCATACCTCTTGTTGCCGCATCGTTCTGGGTCATCTCTCAAACGAAATGGATAACTTATGTTGGAGATTTTCCCACATGAAGAAGGGGGACAAGCTTTCTGATCTTGCACACAAATAATACTACTTTGCTGGAGCAGAAGCGTAGACACCAAGAATACAAATAACGCTCTCCCTCTGCACATGACCACGAAATAGTTTTTCATTGAAACTATCTGACTGAATGTGATCAAGTTGAGTTGAAACATTGGAGTTTTATATTTATAATTGCTTAGACTTATGGCTGTTACTACCTCTTTATTACCGTTAGATCAGATTAAAATGAACGGATGAGATTGAAGGGAAAGTAAAAAAAATTAATAATAAATCTAAGTTGATGATAAGATTAAAAAGAGGCACCAGATTTTGGTTCTAACATCACTTTCTTTTGCCGAAAGAAAACCCCTGCATACATTGGATGGCAGAATGCAGAGTGCAGCCCCTGCAGGGTCATGCCATATTGATCATGCTATTTCTACTGCTTATAAAATATGTCACCGCTCATAACGAGTGCAGGGAATCGTCTTGCGGGCCTTACGAACCGCTTGTTAGATTCCCCTTCCAACTCCTCAAGGGGATGAAAGATCCATGTCATTATCCTGGTTTTTGTTTATATTGTACTACACAAAATGAGACCATGCTTGTGCTCCCTACAACTTCGCATCCAATAAAATTCCTTGTTTCTTACATAAACTACGAAGCTCAGCTAATTTATGTGCAAGACCCTGAAAATTGCCTTCCGAACAAGTTTCTAAAACTCAACAATTTGTCAATTCAACCTTACCACTTATATGACGGAGTAGCACAAAACATCAACTACTTCAACTGTTCTTCAGTTGGGCATCCACACCTGAGAAACAGCATCCAGTCATCCTCAGATTCACAGGATATGATTTCCTGTCCGATTTACGTTTCTAATCCCTACGACAGTGTCCTTGAATTGGACCTTGTATCCTGTACCAAGATGTTCCACGTCAATGCATCGGTCACTGTGAACGAGCTGCAGATTAATATGTTGAGCATGAGGTGGTCCAAACCAGACTGTAGTGAGTGTGAAGAGAAGGGAAAGAGATGTAAATGGAAGAACAACAGCACACAAGGTGATATTGAATGTTTTGACTGCAAAGGCAAACGGAAACCAATCCACATTCCAACATCTTTTATTTTCTCAGCTACAGGTACGTCAGACTCGTTCACCTACCTTCGCACTAGTTTTTCCTCTCTTTTTTTGTTTTTTCCTTTTTACCTTAATTTGAGGGGGGTCATTCTATTTAACTGTGCATTTGTGATTGTAGGTTCAATTCTGTTGGGGCTGGTGCTTATTACAGTCTTTAAGATCCATCGCTATTTTAGAAAGAAAGAAGAAGATCAGGCAAGAGTGGAGAAATTTTTAGAGGACTACAGAGCAGAAAAGCCTGCAAGATTTTCCTATGCTGATATAAAAAGAATGACGAGTGGTTTTAAGCAAAAGTTAGGGGAAGGAACTCACGGAGCAGTTTTCAAAGGAAAACTCTCCAATGAGATTCTGGTGGCTGTGAAGATCCTCAATAGTACTGAGGGAGAAGGGAAAGATTTCATCAACGAAGTTGGTATTATGGGCAAAATCCATCATATCAACGTGGTTCGTTTGCTTGGCTTCTGTGCAGAAGGACTTCATCGTGCTCTTGTCTACAATTTCTTTCAGAACGGTTCTTTACAAAACTTTATATTTCCACCAGATAACAAGGACCATTTTCTCGGTTGGGAGAAGCTGCAACAAGTTGCACATGGCATAGCTAAGGGGATTGAGTATCTTCATGTAGGTTGTAATCATCCAATCCTTCACTTTGACATCAATCCTCACAATGTGTTACTTGATGACAACTTCACTCCAAAGATTTCTGATTTTGGTCTGGCCAAATTGTGTTCCAAGAATCCAAGTCTAGTGTCCATGACAGCTGCTAGGGGAACCTTGGGATACATTGCACCCGAAGTTTTCTCCAGAAACTTTGGGAATGTGTCTTATAAGTCTGATATTTACAGTTATGGAATGTTGTTGCTAGAAATGGTTGGAGGAAGGAAGAACGTAGACATGTCATCTGATCAAACAAGCCAAGTTCTATACCCAGATTGGATCCATAACTTAATTGAAGGAGACATACGTATCCATATTGAGGAACAAGATGATGCTAAAATTGCAAAGAGACTTGCAATTGTTGGACTTTGGTGCATTCAGTGGAGACCGGTGAACCGTCCATCCATAAAGAATGTAATACAAATGCTGGAAACAGAAGAGGAAGACAAGTTAAGCGTGCCTCCTAATCCATTTCACTCAACCACTTCCATTACTACTGCTACTGAACTCACTCTGCTAAGACAACCTTTAGAGTTGGAAGTGATTCAGGAATGAGGGTGGATAATAACTTTTAGACTCGTCAAAGTTTTAATGATTTATTCTCCCTGGGAAAAAAATAAGTATTTTAATTTGTGGAAAAAGTAGCTGCTACATTTTAGTACATGGATTGTCATGTTTTCTTACATTTAGTGGGTAGTGCATTGAGTGTTATGTGAATCCCTCATGTTCCTTCTCTGACGAAAGAGAATTAAAAAAAAAATTTATAATGAGAATAACCATAATATATTTAAAATTCATCAACTTTATTATTACAATTTTTTTTGCTCATAACCTGACACAAGATTCAAATTCTATGATGTACCGCTACAAATGACCACTAATCCCTTTTAAACACTTGTTCGTTGCTTATTTTCCATATGCACCAAAGAATACTCCAATTGCCTTTGATTCCAGGGTTCATCAGTATACGAATTACGATGGTGCTTCAAATTTATCCAATGCATCAACAAGTGACAGAGAGAGGTACGAGCATGGTAGTTAAAATCAAAACGGGAAGGATGATAAAAAAAATCGTAAAACGTAAAATTCTAACGTAAAATAAATCGTAAAAACGTTTAAAATTTTGATGAAATCGCTTTGATTGAAAAAAATTATAAAATTACAAATTTAAATCGAAATTTTATCTAGACGAAAACAATGCATCTTCACCAAAATCTTACGACAACTAAATTAGAGACGGTATATCTCTGTCAGATTCTTCCTCCCAACAAATTGAAGGAGCTTAAAGAACAATAAAAAATTCAATGTACGTTCTGTATTAAAAAAAAAAGTTTTCAAATAAGTAATATTAAAATCAATGGTTGATATGGTGGACTCAACCTAGAAAGCGCGGACACACTCTAAATTAGAAAATTTGCGTGTCAGACATGTGTCCGACACGGACACGCTCTAACATGCTCGGACACGCGTCTGACTCTCGGCCAACATTTTGAAACACGCGATCAACTCTACGATATGTTCTGACACATTTTTCGACACGCAATCAATTTTTCTGACACACGGTCAAATGCTTGGACACGTTTTTTTTTTAAATCTTAATTTTATTTTGTTAACTAAATATAAAAGAAATAATTTATAAAATAAAAATTAACAAAATACGAAAAATTATTTATATTTATGTTATGAAATTTAAATATTTGATTGGTTATATGACTTATTATGGACTCTTATATATATTAAATATAAATTATATTATATATATTAAAATTTTTATTTAATATCAAAATGTGTCCCAACGTGTCGAAATATGATATTTTTTTTAATTAACGTGTCAGTGTGTCGTGTTGTATCCCGTATCCGTGTTCGTGCATCATAGGACTCAACCATAATTCATTTGTATAATTAGTAATAAGACTTTATTCTTTTTAATCTAGTAATAATTTGTGGACACAACCCTAGCTTAAGCGATTTAAGATTATTACGAGTTTAATAAGAAATCAATTGCTATCATTATGCTCTAAGAAAGCCCTACTTTAGTTTATATCCACCTAACAAAGTAACAAGCACAGACATTGCTACTCAAACATTTAAGAGTCTTACACCCAACAATTTTATTTATTGAAGTATTCAATATTAATTAGTCTAGCGTGTAGGGACCTCCATGTGGCCTAGGGTTGTCCTTTTTTTATTTAGAGTAAATATAATTTTTAGTCCTCAGTAAATTTTATGATACCCCTTTTAGTCCTTAACAAATAAAAAGTTATTTGTGGTCCTTAAAAAATTTAAAATGGATCTATTTAGTTAAAATCGTGGTCCTTCACAAATTTCACAAATTCAAAAAAGACCCACATTAATCCCCTCAAAAGGATTAAAATTGGTTCATTTTGAATTTTTCAAGGACCACGAATAGCCTTTTTATTTGTTAGGGACTAAATTGGACATCATAAAATTCGCTTGAGAATCGAAAAAGATATTTAGTCTTTTATTTATTTGCACCCAATAGATAATTTTTTTCCGATTAAAAAAATGGAGAAGGAGTCAACCCTTCATCAATTTCAATAAGAGACCCTCGACCCTGGAAGTCTATCCTTTCTGCGTGTGCAATGGGGTGAGAATTGTCGTATTCTTTCTGCACTTTGTTGTAAAAGCAACATTTTATTTCTCTATAATACTTCTTGTGAACAACTTGGCCAAGTTAGATGTACTAACTTTATCGTGGTTTTAATTTTATTCTATATTCTCAAGGCAAAACAATAATATTAATTAACCCACACGAAATTTAATTTATCTTTCGAGTATAGTTGAAATTGACTAGTGACTGATCATACATAAGTTTAGAATACGATATTTTTTGTTTCTAACTGTATCCTTTTGACCAATCTATTGTGCAGTGCCCACTGCCCACCAACGAAAATTCCACTCAAGTTAGCTTAATAAATGAAAATTTGGTCATATTCACCTGTGATTCGTAAAAGTTGCCTTCAAGTTACGAGGCCCACCACAAAATGACTTTGACTTTTTATTGTTATCGACCGACTTGTGGTTTACAATTCAACGATTTTTTTTAGAATTGTCTATTTTTTAGAATGGGATCTATTAATTTCATGTTGACAAAATAATGAGATCCATCATTTGTAAAAAAAAAAATAATAATAATGTGAATCTTACTACTTGTCTCTATTACATGAGATAATTATCTCATACAATATGAGATAATTATTTCCCTTTTAGAATTGTCTATTTGTTAGAGAAGGACAACGGAAATTGCTATAACGTCAACTGAATCCAGAATCTACAATATCAAACATAAATGGTGTGGGTAACCGAAGAAAATCGCCTTAGATAGTGGGCTTAATTTTCCATTCAAAGTTTTAAACACATTTATAGATGTTAGTGATGTGTGGAAATTATCTTTGATTTTCACAATAACTGTTATAAGTCATTGTCAAATAATACTTTCAACTAGAAAAAGAAAAACATAACTAGACCCGTCAAAATAATTACTAAGATTTAATCCTCATCTATCTTAAAGTGTAAGACTTAAACTTTCATATTATTATTTAGAGGAAATTATAGTTTCCTCTAATGTGGTTTAGTTCAAAAAACATTATTTGCGCGTTTAGATTAATTTATTTTATACTTAAAATAACTTACTAGTGAAATCATACTGAATAAAAACTTTCAAAGGAAAATAATATTTCTCTCAAAATCAATTAAAACCAAATGTACTACAAGTCCCTTCATGACATGAAGAATGTCACATTTCTGACCAAATTAACAATACTAAGAGATTCAAAAACTCAAGTTGAGATGTTCAACCATGTGGTTTCAAACCTTAAAAGAAAGTCCCAAATATAACTTAAAATGAACAAATCTTTAGTATTACCGTCGCACTGAGATCGGATGCTATGATATTATTATAATTATATATTTCGGAGAATATATAGTTATAACATTGAAATTATTATTTCTTCTCTCTTCAAAAACTTATCGGCTGATGTGTCACATTCTTACTAGTGCGATGTACATATGACGTAGTACTAAAGATTTATTCAATAAAGATATCCACCGCATGTAATACACTTGTAATTCAGCTTTCCAACAAGTAAAACACCAAATTGGAAGACAATTACTCTGGATCAAATACACAGTTCAAATGGTCAATCCACTAAATCGACCCAAAATTGCTTTGTAAGCACGTTTTAACGGTCGAATACTTGCAAACCACAATACATCACCGGACTCGTATAACCATATAGTATATATATATATGCACATGCACAAAGGCAAGGTTTCGCCAACACACTACCTGCTAAAGGCTATGTTGGAACCATGATTCTTGTTGCCGCACAAATGCTTGCTAGCATACATGAGAGGCTAGTGGTGACCCCTGCCTCTCTTAAAATTTAGGGGAAAAATTAAACTTTTTGACTATTGTAGCCTTTAACTAAAAAAAATTATCATCTTGCCATCGTTTATAAACTATTTCAAAAATTTAACCTTCTCAACAAACATATCACCAATCTACCCTTGTTTGATCGTTGACCACTCAGTTACTCGGATAGAAAATTATTTACCCTGGTACACACCCAGTTATCTTGGTACATATCCTTATTTGTCCTGGTATACACTCAGTTACTCTAATACATATCCTTTTTTTCCAAACCCAACCGTGAATCCAACTCAAATTCATCAATAAAGAAAACGTGGTTAAATATGTTTGTAATTTGTATGAAAAATTTGTCAAGAAAATATCCCCTTTAGCTAGAGTGAATGTTATTGAGGTATGCACATTGAATCTCTCGTCTATAAGGCATAAAAACATCATTGTATATCCATAATTTTTTGTGAATAAGAGTGAAATTATGTATATATTTTAAAATTAATATGAAGTAAGACGATATTTTTATAAAAATTAAAATCTTTAATATTAACTGGTTAAAATATAAAATACAATTTTTGAAATTTTCAAAACGATGGGGGTAACACGGCTTTTTTTGTAATTTGGTTATGTGAGATGGCCATTGGATTGTACATTCATATATGTTTTACATGTGTTTTTGTCTTTTGATTCTACTAGGTTCCTATTATTACTTTACAGTTTATTGTTTGTCTTTTGAGTTGGATTCATGGTTGGACTTGGAAAATAAGGATATGTATCTGAGGAATATGTACCAGGATAATCGGGTGTGTACCAGAGTAAATAAGAATATATACCAGAATAATCAGATGTGTACCAGGGTAAATAAAGATACGTACTAGAATAATCGGGTGTGTACCCGGATAAATAATTTTTTACCCGGGTAACCAGGTGGTCAACGGTCAAACAGGAATAAATTGGTGTTATGTTTGTTAAGAAAGTTCAATTTTTGAAATAATTTATAAACGAGGGCAAAATGATAATTTTTATTAGTTAAAGGTTACAATAGTCAAAAAGGCGGGAAATTATTATATATAAAAATAATAATTTGGATAAGTTAATATTTGAAGCATAGATGAAGCATACGAAGAGACTTGAAGCTCGAAGCAATATCCCAAAGCTATGAAGCAAAAATTGTAGCTATTTGAATTTGAACTTACTTATCTATTGTTTTGTCTATTTATTTAGTGCTTATTTATGTAATTTTGTTCAAAGTTTTCTAAATCAGCCCTATAAGCTACATTGATATGATTATTTTTGCATGCCTAGTATTTTTTGTTATACTAAGTCAATTGATTGTCTACCATTTAAATATAGAGCCCGATAACTTTATATTAACTCTAAAATTTTCTTTAAGCTATGTTAAGATGATTGAAATGTGAATAACTCAAATAAATTAAATATTGAAAAAATATTTTTTGGTAAATACCTTGAAGATATCCTCACACAATCTCTTTCAACCACCTTGTCTTTGAAGCCAAAAAATTATAATATATTTTACAAAAAATTTACATGAATTATAACAAAAAAAAATTTGTCTAAAATAATTTTGTAATTTTATTAAGTCTTCATAGTAGACATTTTTGTATCCATAGCGTGATCATTTCAACTAAAACTAGCATTTTCATAAGAGTTATATAAATTGTCTTTTCATAACAGTCATATAAATTTCCGTGCCCGTCATGTGATTTTCTGGGTCTACCGCTGCAACAAAAGAGAGACATTCTCAAACATCATGTTGCCCAAACAAACCTCCTGCTAATACACCATAAGAAAGCAAAGATGGTGTCGAGTAGTAACTGTGACCATTATCGTACAATCAAGATCATGAGAAAACCCAACCAAATGTTGCACCTCTTCCATGTTCCGCGCTCGAAGGGAAAACATGCGCCACACCAAAACATCTGACTCGTTATATTAGGAAGAACAACAACTACTGTATTTGAAATCCTACTCCCAAAAGCAATGCAGAAACTTATAGAATATTAGCACATAAGGCTTCCACACAAAATTTATAATAATAATAAAAAAAAATATTCAAATTTTTTCCACACGATTACGTTTGAGGCTCATCAATGATAATTGTATCAAATACCTTCGATCAAATAAGGAGAGTGGAATCATAACTTTTCCTTCATTAGATAAATATTTAACCATGATTCGATTATGTAACACCTCGTTCTAGAACCGGTTTGTTAACATCGCATTATGATATTAAGCGCAGTTACAATTACATGGGTTCAATTAAAATCCGGATAAATTTTTCATTTTAAAACATACCGAACTTATAATACCCAATTTCGTGATCATAACCATATTACCTTGCGGAAATAGATAAATTAAGCTTAACATCATGTTCATTTTCCATTTTTAAACCATTAATTTACTTCTTATTTAATTCACAACTTCTACTATATTGTAGGTTTCTTCATTAGCTATGCGTGGCTTCAAACCGCGCTCAAATCGGAGCACTGTAGCCCAAGTTAGGACAATTTGAATCAACACAAGAGAATGTTGGTCACAGGCCCCCAGAGGCTCCTGCAGCATCCTTACCTGAAAGGGGGTCCCCACAACACGGGCTGAGATATACGAATATATCCAGTAAACCAGGGGTAATAGCAATAACAATAATAATGCAGTAAATACATATCTATGCAAAGTGTAATAACATCTCCAGGAGAAATCCCTCGAGCTCTCAAGCTGTCCTAAGGAAACTCAGATGCAAATAGTCCTACTGGCCAGCTAACTACCAAGTATGATTTACGCATCGTCATGCAACATACCAACATAGGGAAACACCATCATATGCCACACCAAATGCATACACATACGTATAACAAAGCATTACACTATTTTATTGCATTTATATACACAATCACAACCTCTACCCTTTCAAGGCTTGGTAGAACAGTCAAGGGAATTACACCCAAGGTCCGAAGGCTTACCTCAATGCTTCAGTCGACCTTTGTTCTTCACCAATGTCAACAATACTCTACTCCAAAACCAACACCTACACATGGTGTAATGCAATCAACACATTGCATCCAAGAGTATTTCACCATCACCCATCAACTACTCAATTCAAGACACAACACAAGTATGAGCTTACCAATTCCAATGAGCTACTCAAGCTCCATAGCTTGCTCAAGAGGTTGATCACTCACGGTCGGTCCAAATGTCTCAATCCTAGACATCATTAGGACACAATCATCAATCAACCAAGCCATACCATTTATCAACAATGCAAGAAATCCAATATCAAGCATCATATTCTTGCCATTTTACAAGTATACTCATTTAGCTATCTAAGCTCATTTTCACCGATTAAATGACATTCCTAGCATTTTCCCTAACATGCTCTAAGCTCCATTTTTCCTAGAACATAGCTAATTCAACTACATTTCATCAAAATCCCAATTTACTATTCATAAACCCTAACTCATGCAAATTTCAAGGAATCATGAGGTTCAAGGGTTAGAATCTTACCACCAATGGTCACACAACCAAGGATTGATGGCTCCTCAAGCTTCAATGGAGGTAGAAACTCTCAAAACCCCAATTTTCACCAAAGGGCCGAATTTTTGAGAGGTAATATCTCTCTCCACAATGCTCCCCACTCAAAACAAAGCTAGGATTATGAAAGAGGGGGAGATTCTAAGCGATTTAGGCTTTTGAATCACTCAAATCGATTAAGGTTTCCTCTCTCTCTCTCTTCCTCCCTTTCTTCTCCCTTCTTCTCCCTCTCCTTTCTTCTCTTCTGGTTCGACGGGTTGCTGGGGGGAAATGGGGGGTTCTTTTTGGTGTTTTATCACTTAACATTGGTTAAGTGGTAACATGTGGGTATTGGTTCGTCTATCTATTTAACTCCAATAATTATCAAACTTTACCCAAAAGTCTGGAATATTATTCTAGGAATATTACTATTTTTATTTTTATATTTTGGGCACTTTCGTCAGTACCCATTTATACCCCTTAATTTTCACTGAGTACACTTTTTAACTCCAGAGTGACTCAGATTCATTTAATTAAGCCTTATACTTAATTTCACTCACTAAAACATGTTTAATTAATTAATTACACTAGATTTACTAATTAATTAAGTTGGGCTATTATAGATTATGTTTCCAAGTCGATAAACAAATAAAGAATATACCAAGAAGATAACACAATATAAAAACTTAAGTTTTATCACGGAGTAAAGCTTAAAAATTATTAAATTTTGAGTATAGTCCACGACCCATGTGCTATGATCTCCAATTACCAAAGAAAATTTCAGTGAGCGGGCATTTTCCATTCCTTTCGTATCATAATATGTGCAAGGTTCTGAAGTGTGTCGGCATTACAAGGAGAGAAAAAACACGTATGAAACTAAACCAATTAACAATTTATACATTGTCACGTTGTACAAAAATTTTATGCGATTATTTAATATAAAATATGAAATGATAATGTATAGTTGTTGATTAATTATAAATAGGATCCACTATCCACACAAGTATAGCTTTTGAAAAATAATCCCCTTCCTTAGCAGCCTCTTCGGTATGTGCTCCTTAACAGGTGTAGGAATGGATACTTACAGAACAAATTTCCACATTTTAAAATCAAAATATAAGCAATTAGTGGTTACCCTATTTTCTACAAATAAAGGGAGGGTTTTCACATTGAGAAACCTCATAACACCACCAGAATCACTGCCAATTCAAATCATCAATCCATTCTTGGGGATTATATAAGCAACAAATTGAATTGTTCCACTTCCCCCAATTTTTATTGCATAATAATAATAATGAAGGACCAAAAGAAAATGCAATCACTTAACTGGACTAACAATTATAAGATCAGTACCGAATGGCGAAAATCACGAAATATCGATGCAATTTTTATTATGCTATAGCAGAGTGAAGTAAAACCTCAAAAATCATAGCAGCGACCGTTGCGTTCCCAATCGCCATACCTTGTGGGCTCAGGCCCTTTGGGCCCACCGATTTCACCCGTTTCTTTGTTCACGTCGTCGCCATCTTCGTCTTCTTCTTCTTCCTCTTTGCTTCGTTTGCTCTCATCATTGAGAGATTCTCCAGGAGACTGTGCTTGTTCCCTAATTGGGTTTTCGTGGTGGTGGTGCTGCTGAGTCGAGGGGGAGCAGAAGAACCGCGTCACTGAGTTGGAAACAGAGCGAGTCAGGTGGTCGGATCTGGTGTGGTGAAGAACAGGGTTAGATACAGAGGAGAACAAGCGAGCGAAAGCGGTGGTCATTCTTTGTTTGTTAAGCAGATCACGAGAAATCAGAAAACTCAAACCAGAACGAACGAAACCCTGGAAAGTAGGATGAAGAATAGGAACAGTAAAGTTATTTCCAACATCTTGATATCGTGTCACGCTGTGACAAATCCACGACCATGTCCATGTGCAAATGAATCTTAATTTTTTCAATTTTTGTTTATTTAAAGTTAATAAATAATGATTGAATTTAGTATTTATCATTTTAGATGACATAACTTTATGTCATTTTTAATGAAACTTAGTCGTTTTAGTATGTTTTGTCATTTTTTTTTAATTTATAAAATTAGAAATAAAAGGAAAATGGAGGAGAGAGAATGTTAAAACACACCAAAACAACATAATTTTATTAAAATGAAACTATAATATTGTGTCGTTTAAAATGATAAATATTTTTTTCATAATGATTAAGCATAACCAATAAATAATTAAATAATAAGTGTACAAATTAAAGTGGGAAAAAAATTATTTTTAGATTTATTTAACGACAAGTTATTTAATAAGTGCTTTTTTAAAGCTTGCATAAGGTTGCATTTGTATGGACTTTTTAATAAAGTCTTTTTTATCACTTTCTTATTTTAAAAGTACTTTTTATAAAAGTTACAGCTATTTAGATTTTTTAAAAAAAAATTTATTTTTGAAAAAAAAAATTTGACTTTTGAGTTCTGTTTTTTTTTTTAAGTTAAAATTTTTAACTTTTGAAAAAAAGTAAATTTTTGACTTTTTTTATGACTTCTGTTTTTTTTAAAAGCAGGCATCTAAACAGACTACTTTTTTTTCTTAAAAAAAGCTTATCCAAACCGGCTCTGACACATCTAAACCAAAACACCTAGAATTCAAAAAGCAATTCTATTTGATTAATAAAATACGATTATTAAGTATGGTTGTATCATAGTGACGCTGAATAATAAACCTTGTTTGAGGAGAAAGTTAAATTGATGCGAAGTAGGAAAAAAAATTTCTGTCATGGAGTTAAATTTTTAAGAAATGCTCTACCAAAACAAATTATAGGAAATAGCCTTCCTCCCTTATTTAATTCATTACATGATAAATACATTTAATACTAATTACAAATAACCAAACTTTTTTTGTCAATGATGAGCAAGAGATGTTCAAACTTCCTTAACTTAACCTGCTTCAGTGAAAATCGACGCTGAACATCATCTCTGAACAGGGAAAAGTTTTACATCAAGTATTGGGTTCAAGAAATAACTCTTCAAAATAAGATAATTAAGACCACATTTTTTTTTTACATTAAAGTTTAAGAAAATCCTTTAAGAGAAATTCAAGAACCTCATAAACTCATTCAGAATAAGTTTAAAATGGAAACAATCACATATCCAAATAAATAATTAATTATCAAACTGTACATTTCAATTCACACAATCGTACTAAGAGCTAACCTTCCCAAAAGCAAAGACCGAATAAAAACTATGAACAACTGAACAATAATCAAATCTTCAATAACCTTATACCCTAAAAACCCACCAAACACCAAGACAACCTCTTGCTTTCCTTACACACTGAAATTCCTTTTTCTTTTATTGTTTTTCTCCTTATTTTCCCCCTCACCCAATGGAACTACTCTTGCTCGAACTTTAAAACAATCTTCTTTTTTTATTATGTGCATTTCCCTTTGGAACCTTTACGTGCATGAAAAACCACAAAGCCTTCCTAAGTCATCACTGTGTGTTTGCTGCTGCCATGCTGCTTATTGTTGAGGTCTTGTTGTTGCCTCTTGACAAGTCCATCCTGATTTCCGTCAATACTGTGGTCTCTGTCTTCTTTGGTGAGGTAGTTGTCAACTTGTGCAGCGGCTTGTCTTCCCTCTGAAATAGCCCACACCACCAGTGACTGTCCCCGGCGACAATCCCCGGCAGCAAACACCCCTTTCACACTTGTTGAGAAGCGACCATAATCAGCCTTGAAGTTTGACCTGTTGTCTCTCTCCACACCCATCTTCTCAGCAGTTGTCTGGCAAATAAAAGCATGATCAGTTTTGACTTAAGCAACAAACATTGTAAGAAGTTTACTATCTAGTCTGCATGCATGCATGCAGCTGGTAATTAGTTTATGGTATGGAAAAAACACATGTATATGTTATATTAGATACTAAGTAGTTATATCTATATATATATCTACACGAATTAACTATATATCTAAATATTCCTTGCTATAACTTATTACTCTTACTTTTCAGCTACCACAAAGGTAGCATGTTTAGTTTACTAACTTCTTAAACAAGAGAAATGAAGCTATTATGAATACTTACAGATTCAGGACCAAGGAATCCCATGGCTAGTAAAACAAGGTCAGCCTCAATAATCTCCTCAGAGCCCTCAATTTCCTTGAACTGAAACTTGCCGGTCTCATCTTTCTCCCAGCGAACACGTACCACTTCAAGTCCTTTCACAACTCCATTTTCATCTCCCACAAACCGCTTGGTCAGTACCTCGTACGATCTTGGATCTTTGCCAAATTTAGCAGCAGCTTCTTGGTGCCCATAATCTACACGGAATACGCGAGGCCACTGCATTACAGAAACATATTGTGGTTAAACTCATGAAGAAAACTACCATGAAAAAAAAAAAGTTATTTGACACTTCTTTAATTAGCCATTACTAGTAATAAGTGAAAAGTCCAATTTCTCAAGAAGATGGATACATAAAAAATACATCTTGAAAACCAATGATTCTAATCTAACCTGAGGCCACGGGTTGCCTGGGGCCCTAGTTCGTGGTGGCTCAGGGAGAAGTTCAAGATTTACGATGCTAGAACAACCATGGCGAATGGATGTCCCAATGCAATCCGTGCCTGTGTCACCCCCACCAATGACAACAACTTTCTTGCCCTTGGCAGAAATGTAGTTACCATCCTGAAGATTGCTATCAAGCAAGCTTTTAGTGTTTGCATGGAGAAACTCCATGGCAAAATGAACTCCTGACAGCTCACGTCCAGGTACAGGAAGATCCCTGCATGAAAAAAGTAATTTCATTTGAAACATACTTCTAAATTATACATGTTGTTACAAAAGGAAATTGAACAAAAACAATAGGTAACAAAAAGGACTCCTGTTGCTGTGTCTCACCTTGGTTTTGTGGCTCCTACAGCCAAGACAATGGCATCATTTTCCTCTCTAAGTCGATCAAGAGAGTATAACGGATCATGTCCAACATTAGCATTCACCACAAAATTCACTCCTTCCTCAGCCATAAGATTAACTCGCCGTTGAACTACATCCACTTTGTCAGTTTTCATGTTGGGAACCCCATACATCATAAGCCCTCCAATCCTATCAGCTCTTTCGAACACTGTAACTAAATGACCCATTTTATTTAGTTGATCTGCAGCAGCCAAGCCAGATGGTCCACTTCCAACTATGGCTACTCTTTTCCTGTATCAGTAAACATATTAATTAAGCACACCGTTTATCTAATTCAGGTTTGGTCCAGTTTAATATTACTAATCATTGTAAGAAAGTTGAACAACACACAAAAATTACTGCACATACAACGCGTAGGTTTATAAAAATTTGGTAGAAAAGGGACACCAAAAATAACAAAAATGAAACTGAACAGATGTTAAAAAGAAAAAAAATTAGCATACCCAGTTCTCTTGACTGGAGGTCGTGGCAGCATCCAACCCTCTTCAAAAGCCTTGTCTATGATAGCACATTCAATGCTTTTAATAGATACCGGATTCTCAATGATACCAAGGACACAAGAACCTTCACAAGGTGCTGGGCACACGCGACCAGTAAACTCTGGAAAGTTATTTGTTTCAAGAAGCCTCTCGAAGGCTTCTTGCCACCTATTTTGGTATACTAACTCATTAAATTCTGGTATTTTATTTCCAAGAGGACATCCAGAATTTTCCTGAAAATTTATACAAGTATCTTTAGTTAAACCATGGTGCAAAAAATCTTAGAAGGAAAGATGTGAAAGTTGTAAATTAAAAATGAAAACGTGGAAATAGCAATGCACACCTGATGACAGAAAGGAGTACCACAATCCATGCAACGTGCTGACTGTGTTTTCAAAAGTGGACCAGGCTTTGTCTCCTCCATCACTTCCTTCCAATCAGTCATACGAACATTAGGATCCCTATACTTAACACCCTCACGCTCATAAGCAACAAAACCTCTATGTTTAATGGCATCTGCGACTCGACTTGGCCTCTTGGGTGAATCATCCTGCAGATATTCAAAGACATTAGCCAGGTAGAAATGTACAAAAAGTACTTTAGGCACACTTGTATATTTCAAGTATGTTCTTCACATTTAAGAAATAAGAAAACAGACAAAACCACTGCTGAACCCCTCCAATAGAAATGGTCAAATATCTACTACATGCAACAGAGTAATCACTAGGTTAGTTTAAAATAGCTTTTGACATTTATAGGACCTACAATAAAAAGGAAGTAAAAAAATCCTTTCCAAGAAGATCTTCTGTTAGTAAAGCAATAACTGACAGTATTGCCATCTTCACACAGTGGTTTCGAATTGAAACTTCTAGGCAACCTATACTGTAATTAATGAAAATAATCCCTCCATTTGTCACCTCACCCCAATTCAATCTAACAACACAAGGAAGATTGAATTTTATTTCAAAAATTAATTGCCTGATAGACATTTGAAGGAGAAAATTTTATTATTAAAGATTCGATAATTAGTAGTGTGAATGCAACAATAAGAACAAGGATAGTCACCAATTAGAGAGTTTAAACGTTGAAAATAATTTGTTTTCTTAAAAAACAGAACATAAAATGTACAGGAATTAAAAAAAACAAGCAAAAAAAATTAAAAGCTTGCAATTACCTGACTTGGTTTCTCATTCAAAGATGCAGTCGCCAGTTTCTTAAGCTCTTCAAAAGCATCTTTCTCGATTGCTTGTGCTTCATCATCTTGCTCTTCTGCATCTTTGCGCTCCACTGCATCGGCTTCATCAGACTTCATACTTGCAAGAGCACGTTTGTACTCCCTAGGGATCACCTTGATAAATTTAGGAAGAAGATTCTCAAAATCAACAAGCACTTCTTTGGCAAGCATACTATTTGTGTGACGTTGATGTTGCTGTATCAACATTCTAAGAGTAGTGATATCCTCTTCCTCTTCAACCTTATCCAGATCTACAAGCTCCAGGTTGCATCGAGATTGGAATTTTCCATCCATATCAAGAACATAAGCAATCCCACCACTCATACCTGCAGCAAAATTTCTACCAGTTTTTCCAAGCACAACAACAGTTCCACCAGTCATGTACTCACATCCATGATCACCAACACCTTCCACCACAGCCTTTGCCCCAGAATTACGCACACAAAATCTTTCTGCTGCCATCCCATTGAAATACGCTTCACCACAAGTGGCCCCATACAGTGCCACATTACCAATCACAATGTTCTCCTTAGGGTCAAAGTTACTTCCTTTTGGAGGATACACTACAATCTTGCCACCAGATAACCCTTTACCAACGTAGTCATTGCTATCGCCTTCAAGTTCCAAAGTGATGCCAGGACAGAGGAATGCACCAAAACTTTGGCCTGCACTGCCAGTAAATCTGATATGGATGGTATCAGTTGGAAGACCAGCTAAGTGGTACCGTTTAGTCACCTCATGACTAAGCATAGTTCCCACAGCACGGTTTACATTATAGATTGGAGTTTCAATGTATACTGGGAGACCCTTTTCCAAAGCAGCATTGGACAGACTTATGAGCTTATTATCCAAGGCCATGTCCAAACCATGATCTTGTTTTTGCACACAGTATTGTGCGGCTTCTGGCCGTAGTTCAGCTGCAGGTCTAAGCAATAAAGAGAGGTCAATGTTCTCCAGTTTTTCATTGTTCTTAACAACTTCTTTATCAACTTCGAGCATATCTGAACGGCCAACCATCTCATTAACAGTCCTTAACCCAAGCTGGGACATAATTTCTCTCATCTCTTCTGCCACCATAAAAAAGAAGTTAATAACATGCTCAGGTTCCCCAGCAAACTTCTCTCTGAGTACTGGATCTTGGGTAGCAATGCCAACAGGACAGGTGTTCTTATGGCACTTCCGCATCATGATGCAACCAAGAGTAATGAGTGGAGCGGTACTGAAACCAAACTCTTCGGCACCAAGAAGGGCAGCTATGGCCACATCTCTTCCGGTTTTCAGTTGCCCATCAGTTTGGAGAACTGTGCGACCACGTAGGTCATTAGCAACCAAAGTCTGGTGAGTTTCGACCAGGCCAAGTTCCCAAGGCAACCCAGCATTCTTTATGCCAGTCCATCTGGATGCCCCGGTACCTCCATCGTGACCTGAGATCAAGACATGGTCGGCATGACCTTTAACAACTCCACTAGCAATTATCCCCACTCCAGCTTCAGATACTAACTTCACACTAATTCGAGCAGCCGGGTTGGCATTCTACAAATTAACAAAAGGGATTAAAAAGGAAGATCACCTAACTGAAGAATATTCAACCAGAAGCATTCATTGCAAAAGAATAGAAACCGGATACAAAAATACCTTGAGATCATGAATTAATTGGGCAAGGTCTTCAATTGAATATATATCATGATGGGGAGGTGGACTGATAAGTCCTACCCCAGCAGTTGAATTCCTAGTGACAGCAATGTCTCCAACAACCTTGTGGCCAGGAAGTTCACCTCCCTCACCAGGTTTTGCTCCCTGAGAATTACAATTATAACATTAAGAAACCGCTCTACGTTAAATGAAAAACTACACTTATATTTAACCTCACCAGAGGTCAACTGTAGGCATCAATTAAAGACACAAGAGCACCTAGAGGTGCCTTGAAGTCACAGCATCATCTGCCATGAATATAAATTCATAAACACCACAACCTTAATTCTAACAGGAATGCAGGGACTAGAGACCAGTCGATGAGATTTTTTGATATATAAGAAAAAGGACAATAACCTCGTTCCAAGAGAGCAAAATTATACCTGGGCCATCTTTATCTGCAGTTCATCAGCATTTGTAAGGTAGTAACTTGAAACTCCAAATCTCCCACTAGCAACCTGCTTGATGGCACTCCTTTTGGGATTCATTGAGCCATCAGCAAGAGGCTCCATACGAGATGGTTGCTCACCTCCCTCTCCTATGGCCAATATGCAAGAAATAAATCATCAGAAAATTACAGAAATTGAGGAGATTAATCTTCGTATAGTGGAAACAAAAGAGCAAGATAAAAGTAATCCCCAAGACATTTTTGTTTCCCTCTTTTTAGATGGAATAGAAAAAATAAGTTACAGGATATTCTTAAAATAAGTTTAACAAACCTGTGTTGGATTTCCCTCCAATTTTATTCATAGCCATTGCTAACGTCGTGTGTGCCTCCAATGATATGGACCCATAACTCATGGCCCCAGTGCAAAACCGTTTAACTATTTCGCTAGCAGGTTCCACTTCATCAATGGGAATTTTAGCTGCTGTCTCTTTAAATTTCAGAAGCCCCCGCAGATTGCAAGCCTTATTCAATTCATGAATGAGCTTTGAATACTGTTTATAGGTATCTACACTGTTAGTCCTGGCAGCCTCTTGAAGCTTTGCCATAGCAAGTGGATCATTCAAGTGAACTTCACCACCTTTTCTCCAATGATAATCCCCAGGATTTGGCAACGCTACAGCTTCTGCACTTCCAGGAGAGAAAACTCGGGAAGGAAAAGCCAACTCATGGAGTTGAAGAGCATCCCGAGCAAGCATCTCAAATGTTGCACCCTCAACTCGACTTGGAGTTCCAGCAAAGCACTTTTCAATAACTCCAGAAGAAAGACCCAGAGCTTCAAAAATCTGAGCACCTTTGTACGAGGCCAGAGTTGATATTCCCATCTTGGCAAGAACCTTCATCATTCCATAGTTGCTTGCTTTGAAATATTTCTTGACCAACTCATCTTTTGAGTAGAAATCACCATTTGCTTTTGGTGGGATCTTTCCATCAACCTGCAGTCGGCAAATTGCCTCTACAGCCAAATATGGGCATATAGCATCAGCGCCAAAACCAACAAGTGTGCAGAAATGGTGCACTTCACGTGGCTCAGCAGATTCAACTATTAAGGCAACTCTGGTGCGCTCAAGTGTTCTAACTAGATGTTGATGGACAGCACCAACAGCCAGGAGGGAGCTCACAGCAACACGTTTCCTAGAGAAGGCTACAGATTCAATCCCAGATACAAAAAAATTAGTTGGACGCAACTGCATACAGTATCTTTATGCAATACAAATATAACATAGTAGTATTAATACCTCTATCAGACAGCACAAGGGTGGTGTAGCCTTCATTAATTGCATCATGTGCTTCAGCACATATCCTGTCCAAGGCTTCCTCCAACCCATTCTTACCACGTTCCTTTGAGTAAGTTATGTCTATAACTTTGCTCCGCCATCCCCTATAATTCATTTTTTTGATGGCTTCCATTTCTTCAATGGATAAAAGAGAACCTTTTAGTGATAGCCGGTGGCATTGTTCCTCAGTGGTTTCCGTCAGATCACCTTCTGGACCAACCATACATTGCATAGAAGTGACTATTTTCTCTCGAATAGGATCAATAGGAGGGTTTGTCACTTGAGCAAACATTTGCTTGAAGTACTCAAAAGTAAGTTTTTCTCTATTAGACATGACAGCTAACGGAGTATCATTTCCCATTGACCCAAGGGCTTCTACACCATCTTTTGCCATGGGAAGTAATAGCATTTCCAATGATTCAACTGTATATCTGCATGAATAAAGCATAATATGTTAAAAACACTTCCTTTGTAAATACACTGGATGGATAAAACAAAGGAAATATTCAGAATGGATGTTGCATACCCAAAAGCCTTCAATGGGGCCAATAAACCATGAATCCCCATATTTTCCATATCCATGTCATCATTAGATAGCTGTAGTTCATGGAAAATGCAATAATTAGACTTACCCACAAGAAATTTATGAGAAGCTCACAATGATTTTTATGCTATACTTACTGGAGTCACTCCTGCTATGGTTGGTGGCACTCTTTCAGATTCATGAACAGAGTCAACAATGTCTTTAAGTTCAATCTTCTGCTTTTTGAGCCAATCCCCGTAGGGCTTTGCCAATGAGTACTGTTCCTTCAAGGCATCATCATTTACAACTATATGCTTCTCAAAATCCACCAGAAGCATCATGCCAGGATTTAGTCTTCCTTTCCTACACACATCTTCTGGGGGAATGTCTACAACCCCAACTTCACTTGCCATTACAACTCGTCCGCTGTGGGTGACATAGAAACGGCCTGGTCGCAGTCCATTCCTATCCAATGTAGCTCCAAGATAGTGACCATCGGTAACTATAATGATATTACATTAGATTAGTAACAAATTATAAAGCCAATTTTAAGAGGATATTAACATGTGATGAACTGCAGTCCCAGAGAATTTACATGATATAAGAGCTGGTCCATCCCATGGCTCCATGAGAGCAGAGTAGTATTCATAAAATGCTTTACGCTGAGGATCCATGTTCTTGTCATTTTGCCATGCTTCAGGAATCATCATCATAACAGCTTCAGGAAGGCTTTTTCCAGAGTGAAGCAAAAACTCAAGCACACCATCAAAAGCTCCTGGAAAATAAACACCCATTAGGATTCAGTATATGACCATAGTTCAGCTGGCTAATTAAAAATAGATTCAGATAAAATTTCACCTGAATCAGATGAATTTGCATCTACAATGGGCAAAAGCTTCTTTAACTCAGTCTCTGACAAACCAAGCTCCTTGCATTTCAATAAGCCCTCACGTGCCTTCATCCTACAAAATACACCAGATTAGATGATCTATTCAACACTACATCAATCAAAATGCAACGAGTACATCCAACACAACGCTCAATGCTGTTATACCAACCCTTAATCAATTAGCATCAACCTTGTTCCGCACAATACTGGGAATACAGTAACAAGTTTTTTTTAAGCGCAATATAGTATTCATTCTTATAGATCATACCATTAAACTACTCCAAGGAAAAACTTATCCAAGACATACCAGTTAACATTGCCCCTGAGTGTATTGATTTCTCCATTGTGGCCCAATACACGCATAGGTTGAGCACGATCCCAGCTAGGAAAAGTATTCGTAGAAAATCGAGAATGTATCTGCACAGGTGTACCAAATTGTCAGCCTTCATGGTTAAATTCTTATAAACAAGTATAAACCAACATAGAAATCCAAAGCATAAATGAAGTTTTCTTCCAGGCACTTCACTATAAATATATACTGAAGTGCCAGTAGAAATTCCAGAAATCCAATCCACTTTCACCAAAATGAATTTTTTCCTCCACCACTTTGAAGACATTGTCCTCCAGACCAACTAGCGACAGAAAGCATCAGCAGAAATTTCTGCAAACATGATTATCTTGATAATGAACTTTCTTACCAACTCAACCATTGCATCCAATCCAGCATCCAAACTCAAATAGTAATCAAGGAAGCGGAAGAACTTAAGAGATCATTCAAACCTCAATGCCTCAGAAGTCATTCCCCAACCTTGCATCTCTTCAGTTACTGGTTGTTCCCATGCTGTTTGTTGGAGTATAGAGTTAGTGGAGAAAGAGGATAGGTTAATGGGTAATATATTTACCAGGGCCATGTAGCTCGTAAACCTTTCATTGCCAAGGTCTGCAGAATAATAATCCCTCAACTGAGCTGGTGTTAGCTGACCTTTGTAAATAACAGTCCTGTACAAAATTGGATAACCATCAGAAATCTGAAATTGATTAGATAACCGTGGCAATAACCATAATTTACTTCTCAAGAAAATGGGTTTGCCTCCTGAAAACAAACCTTGATGAAAGTGAACAGATATAGAAATCTTTAATGCCATCATTTTGTAGGTTCAACGCAGACGTAATGGCAACCATGCTGAGCTTCCTTAATATGTACATCTGCAAGGAAAAAGCCAAGAATATTTTGTCCAAATCATAATGTTCACTGAAGTAATTTATTTGTTAACCTATTTCTTTAGAAAGAAATCTAGCACAATCATTAATTCAGTTAAATTATTTTAATGCAAATGTCTTGCCACCAATGTCAACAAGCAGAAAAAGTACCTGTCGTTCCAAATCAACTTTTGAGTGAGCACTTGGTGTAAGAAACACCTGCTCGATCACTGGTTCAGTCTGCAAGGCTGATTTGCCCAATCCTGTGTTATCTGTGGGCACAGAACGCCAACCAAGAACCGAGTGCCCCAGAGACTCGGCAACCTTAAAACCAAAGCCAAGCAGAATTACCAACAAATCTCACAAAAATAAAAAATCACAATGGTAATAGCAAAAGGAACATAATGCAAAATAGCAAAAAATGATTGCAACTGGCAGATACAATACAAGGCAGGTCAAAAAAAGTATGATGTGCTAAAACAAATCCAAGTTGAAGTCAAAAGCCATTATGCATGAAAATCAAATTTGAAACAAAGAAAAAGGAACTTCAGAATTAGATTTACCTTTCTAAAAATATTTTTGCTTTCCTTCCTACGACTGTCGGATTTAGGCAAGAAAACCATGCCAACTGCATATTTTCCTTGGGGAGGAAGCTCAAAATCCACAACCTGCAATTATGCAAACCCATTATAATCATCAATCTCTTTCAATACAACAGGTGAAAGATACTATAAATCAAAGATTTGTGGTCTATTAATAGGTTATAGACCTAAGAATGAATCAATCAAAACTTCTATTAAAGCAATTAAGTAGTAGTTACTCTTTACTTTCCACTTAACCGAAAAGTTATTGTGGCGGGTATTAATCTCAATTAAAAACCTCTTTTTTAAAATTAAAAAAAAAAAGCATAAAAAAAAGAGCTAATAGGAGACTGAGAGGAAAAACAAAACGATAGATTGTTTATGCTCCTCTATATGATTATAAAAATAATGTATTTACGAATAATAATGTCGTACAAACTAAAATAAAAAAAGGCGGCCATCACCAAAAGAACCAAAACCAAAACAAAAAAGGGAAAAAAATTAAGAGAAAATAACGAATAAGAAAGTAAATACTAAATACAGCAACTACTCTTAATTTAAAAAAATACTCAAAAAAACAAATTAAAAACAGTGAATAGAAATTAAACCATCATCTAACGAAACTAAGAGGAACACCAATCTCAAACAAGAACAGAAAATACAGATAAATATTTGCATAAGAAAAAAAACACAAACACACAGAGAGAGAGGACAGAACATAGAGATAGATATTTGTAATTAATACAAAAAAAAAAAAAAAAAAAAACGTGCCTCCTTGTAAAACGCATGAGGAACTGCAACAAGAATCCCGGCACCATCTCCAGTGTTAGCTTCACATCCGCATGCACCTCTGTGCGTCATGCGCACCAACATCTCCAACGCATCGGTTACCTTCACAAACAAAACAACCAAACAAATAAGAACAATCACAATCATAATCACAATCACAATCGCATCCAACAAAAAACACCATTTCTCACCGTTTTTCGATTGCTTTGACCCGACAATTCGGCCACGAATCCAACCCCACACGAGTCCTTATCCATAGCCGGATCATAAAGCCCTAACGGCTTCTCCGGCACAGCCGAGAATGCCGACCGAACCGCCACCCTCAGCTTCGGCAACCGACCCGGCCCGCCCGATTGCCAAAACTGGAACCGCTCCGACCCGCTCGTTCGCAACCGGGTCCCCAAGAACCCCTTGCTGTCTATGGCAGAGCATCGCGTGACCCTGCTTGTGAGGCTCGTCAAAGGACGCAACCGCGCGTTTGGGTTGTTGAGAGCACTCAACTGAGGGTTGTTGAGAGCCAACAACGTCAGCGAAAGAGAATTTGACATTTTTTTTCAACCGACAAAACAAAACCTCTCGTGTGTTCCTGTTTTTTTTGTTATAACTTTTATCAAAGTGCTGTGTTTATGTTTTAAGAGTTCAGGTATTTGTTAAACTCTTGTTACATTCACTGGTCAGATTCCTTTACACACCAAATGTGAGCCACTTCAACAAAACAAAAATAAAAAGGGAGGAGAAAATATATGCTATATATGAAAAAAAAAAAAAAAAAAAGATGGGATTTTTTCAAGTGAAAATGCAACAGATCCGGGTTTATTGCTCAAGTAGCAATAAGATCCGGGTTTATATGGAGTAGCTTCTAAGCACGAGAATAAGGAAATGGTAATTCAAGATATCGAAGAGATTCGAATCACAAAAAAGGGCTTGTCTCATTTGCTTGGCACACAGATATGTTGTTGCAAACACATGAAGGAACAAACGAGTAAACAGAGAGAGAGAGAGAGAAAGAGAGAACAGCGCCGCCTGAAGCACCTGTTCTGTGAGGGTTCCTGGTGGTTGAAAGAAGCAGAGAATGGATTTATAGTGTGTGATAATGGAGAAGAGGGAAAAAGAGGGAGAGGGAGGAGGTGGGACCACCTAGTTCTTTGTGTTTGTGTAATTACCGAGTCAGTCCTCAGTGTTGTTTTTTTTCGTTGACAGCTAAGTATTCACAGTGACGCCACGTGTGAACTGCTCTATGCGGCACGCGACAGCCGATCTCTTGGTGGGTCCCGCCATCTGGCTAGGCTCGGAAACGAACCTGTGTACTTACGAGAAAAACTTAACTTTCTGCAAACTCAGAAAATAGATAAAGGTGAGAGAAAAAAAAAATTTAAAATCCATTTGAAAAATATTCTCCCTTAATCTATCCAAATAAACAGAAAATTGAAATGATTTTCCTTTTTGAGATTTTAGTTCTTATCTCTTCTTTTTGGTAAATTAGTTGTTATCTCTTTTACAGTTTTACTCAACTCTTATCTCTTCTATCTATTCGTTTTCTCATCCTCATATATTATTTAACACAATAATATTATATGAGAAAACTATAATTATATATAGGTGAATTAATACTAATAATAAAAGAAGGGGGGGAAAATATTGAGATAGAAAATTGTAGAATTATCACATAATTTGTTCATTGATAATTAAAATTTTCTCATATAATACAATTATGTTAGATAATACACGGAAGAATAAATTTTGAATTATTTTTCTTTTTCAAATAGATAATGGTGTGTCATATCTTTTTAATATATTCTTTTTAACATTTGTAAATTGTTTATAAATGAATAGTATTATGTCATAACCTTTTTTAGAATTTGAGAATTCACAAAATGCTTTAATGATTAATCTTATACGAGATAGGATTGTTGTTTACCCAAAAAAAAAAAAGATAGGATTGTTTTATTTGAAAAGAATCAAAGTATTTATTATTTATCTACATTGGGAGTTATTTATGTTTTTAGCACAAAAATTTTTATTAAAGACAAAAAAAAAATATAGAACATTATTATCCTAATCTTAAAAATTTGCACATCAATTTTGGTGAATTCTTTTTTCTTTTTTCTTTTTTCTTTTGCAATGTTGATGACGAGTATATATAAATCTAATACTTTTCAAGAATAACCATTAATTTTGTTTTTAACACTTCTTCTATTTTATTATGTCTAATTTTGTAAGTTCTATTTTTAAAAAATAATTTTTTATTTTCATTACCAATCAAGTATTAGTTAACTCCTTTAATCTTATCATTATTCAGTTGTATCTTTCAAACATTAAATGACTTTTATTTAAAGAATTTCTCAAAAATATTCTATCTTTAATAATTATTTTATTTTTTTCACTCACCTAATTTTTAAATTATTATTTTTCTACTATTTTTATTTGTCAATCTTAATTGCAAGACATTTCAATTTCTTTGTGGATGCCTCCAGGCAAAAACAAAAGTTTGTGGAAATTATTAAAAGAGTAAATATTCTTTTTGGTACTTAGCAAATTTCATGATACCCACTTTAGTCCCTAGCAAATAAAAAGGCTCATCATGGTCCTTAAAAACTTAAAATAGACCCATTTAGTTGAAATCGTGGTCTCTCACAAATTCAAAAACAATCCATATTAGTCCCTAAAAAGACTAAAATAGGTCCATTTTGAATTTCTTAGGGATCATGATGGGCCTTTTTATTTGCTAGGAACTAAAGCGGGCATCGTGAAATTTGCTGAGGACCAAAAATGGTATTTACTCTTATTAAAAATAGTATTTTTCAATATATAAATCATGCATAATTAATAATCTCTGGGATGGCTGTTACATCTCATGCTTTGGTAAGTTTCAAAAATAATTGCACTAACAACATGAACTTTTGTAAAAGTCAATCTAAATGGGAATTTTTTAATATGCCCGGGGATCACCATGATTCTTCCACTTAAAAATTGACACTTCAATAAAAAAATAAAAAAAAAGTTTTCTCTCTTCTCTCACCTCTCTCCTCAACTTTTTCTCTCTTTCTCTCACCTTCGTCCTAAATCTTTTTTTGCTCCCGGACCACAAAAATATCGCTCCATTAAATGGGTCCCGCGATCTTAAATGTAAGTTCTTATTATATAAATAAAGGAAATTAGTTTGTTATATTGTAGGAATGACACTGTTTCGTCTTATAACATGATCTAATTCTGTATCTTGACTTTTTTAATAGGATCTGATTATGGATCCTGACTTTTTTTTAAGTGTGAGACCAACACTTGATTTATGTGTGCAGGTAAAAAGCTCTTATTATGTGACATGTCAAAAAGTGAACCCTATAAATAAATAACCTTATAAATCTACCCAACCTTATCTAAATCCAAATAAATTTCTTCTGAGTAGCGTTATAAAAGCATACACAACCCGATGGGTTTAACCCGGTGACCTATAAATTGGATCCCCAATTTATTTGGTTTAGGTATTAGATCACTTTTGTATTTGATCCAATATAAAATTGTTAATTTAGTACTGAATCAGGTTCAACCACTATTAAATCAGCACCGATATTTTTAAAATTTTCGTGTTACGAATATTTGGACAATAAACTTAAAAATACCACTAACGAAAGGATTATAATTTATAGCATTTACTACTAAAACAACTTTTTTTTTGGAAATACATCAGAAATTAAACACAAAACACCAAGTTAACCAGGTCTGGGAATTGTTATTCCCCTCTGATCAGTATGGATCAGGCTATTACATCCCAAATGAGGGTTAAGAAAAATCTGCATATCCGTTGCATGAGCAATTTTCTGTTTTGCAAGCCAATCAGCTACTTGATTTTCTTCTCTCAGAACATGCTGAACTCTAACCACCCTACTAAAGCAACTTTAACTATTAGCTAAAATACTTCTAAATTTAAATTTATTATATTTTATTGTTTATATTTAATTTATATGGTTGAACTAATAATCCATTAAACTTGTGACCCATTGACCTAGTTCCGTTGGTCTGAGTTTGATAACACTACTTGTGAGAAACCCATTGACCTAGTTCCGTTGGTTCCACGCCGGTTAGTAGCAATCTCCGCCAACAATTTCCGTGGGTCACTGAGGAGGTTCTTAGCTTCAGATCCACCATGACCACCAAAGAGATATATGGGCTCCCCATAGGTAACCCGGTGGGATTCAATACCTTCTGCCAGCAGAAGACGAGCCTGCTTGCTCAGGCCGGAATCCTGAAGAACCACCCTCTTTCTTTTTTTATTGCGACTTAATTACCAAGATTGGTATTCGCTTTCCTCTTTCTCCTTTTAAAATACAGCTTCTGAACCATCTCTTCCTTGCCCCTACTCAAATTCATCCCAATGGTTGGGCCTATATTGTTTCCTTTGACCAAATCTGCGCACCCTTGTCTGTAACATGCATTGTTCCCTTTTTTCTTCATTTTTTTAACATATACACTCCTCGTACCGGTTTCGAGCCTTCTCAATTCAAAGGGTGGACCAGCATCTGTGGTCGTGCTAGCAAGCCCTCAAGGAAATTGTTTTTCATTTACAGTGACTCTTTTAAAGACTTCAAGGGCTCGTATTTTAAAGTGATTGCTGAAGTCGGAGAAAGGCCATGGTTTATAGGAGAGGATGCGGAAGGAAAGTTTCCTCTTTACTGGTCTCAAGAACATCATCTCCGTAGGTCGGTTCATTTTATACTTAGATTGTCAGTGGAAGATAAAGCCAATGTCAAGATCCTACTAGCTTACGTCGGCTCTCAGGGCCATTTGAGTGCAGCTTATTTAGTTGCCAAATCTCATGCCGACCTAGACCAAGCTAGTACGCCTTTGCAATTTCTTCAAAATACGTCTTTTGATACTTGTACCTTTTTCTTGTTATAATTATGCTTACTTGATTTGCAGGTTGTCAGATGGACTCTGCCGCAGATGAAGTACCTGACTATGTGTTTTCTCTGCGAGGAAAGGCTGCAGCTCGACCTCCTCCTGCCGCCAAAAGGCAAAGGACTATTAGTCCTACTATAGGTGCTACTTCCTCCATCCCGGCTGTTAATCCCAACATATCAGTGTTGGATTTGACCAACGATACTGATAACTGGTTGGACTCAGATGGTCACCAAACTTCTCCTGCTGAAGGCATCGTAGGCACTACTCGGGCCGTGGTGTATGTGGACTGAGGTACCCCTCGCCTACTCCCTTTCCTGCTGGACTTAGGAGAGGGGCTTTATAGGAGACCGGGGTTGCCCTGGAGCTTCGTGGTGTTACACGCCCTCCACCTTCCTTCTACGGGACTGGCATACCTTCAAGGGCCGAGGTTGAAGAATTGCAGAAAGCCGAGCTATATGCTTTCAAGGTGGCCTCCCTGGTGAAGCCTTACTCTCTCCTGTTGGAGAAGCATTCTTAGATTTGTGCTGAGAAAGACGCCCTCTAGGTTGATAGGGATGCCCTTCGGACTGAACGTGACAAGGCGGTTCAAGATAATCAAAGTTTGACAACTGCCTCTGCTGAATTGAAGTCGTCTTTGGAGCAATCGCAAGCCGACCTGAAGCTTGTGTCAGATTCTTTTGGCGTTGATGCTAACAAATAGGCTCTCATCAATTACTTCAAGGAGAAATTATCTTTGTTAGCCGAGCATGAATCAAGAACCGCTGCTTTGAAGTTGGAAATTAACAAGCTGAAATCCGATCTTCAAGACTTGCGATCTGACTATGATCTTAGTCAGACCGCATTGGAAAAGGCTGTCAGTTCCGCATTTAACAATGTTGTAAATCAAATAAGTATTTCAACCCTGAAGTTACATTGAACACTGACCAACTGGACTATTTTGGTTATGTTCGAGGTGGGGTTTTCGTTCCGCCCCCTTCAATTGATCAGAATATAGGCGAACCTGAGGCGTCGAACGTGGTGATCACCCAAGCAACGAAGGCTGCCGAGCAGGAATTTGAGGACAAGGTTAGACAGATTCTCCAAGGCGGAAATCAGGATTAAAGAGCCGGGATGCCGGTTTATTTTGTACCTTTTACATTTCCTGTCAGGACTGAATCATTTTTAATTTGTAATGACATTGCCTGTTAATCTGTTCATGACTATTTGGTTTGATTCGCCGTTTGGCCATATTCTCCGCCTTGGCAATGATTGCTGCTTTTTTCGCGGTCATGTAGGAGTTAGAGGGCTTCCTCTCCTAGACGATCGTCCCCTTGCCTTAGGTTTATGCCTAGCTAGAACTCACGATATTGCCCTTGGGCAAGACGGGTTCCACTACCTCGGTTTGATGCCCGGCTAGAACTCACGATCTTTCCCTTTGGCAATATGGGTTCCACTACCTCAGTTTGATGCCTGGCTAGAACTCGCGATCTTGCCCTTGGGCAAGACGGGTTCCACTACCTCGGTTTGATGCCTGGCTAGAACTCGCGATCTTTCCCTTGGGCAAGACGGGTTCTGCTACCTTGGATTAGAAATAACAACATATTTCTGGAATACATGCTTGCTTTATTCAGCTGTTCATAATTAAAATTCAAATTACAAAAAGGAAACATAAATTCTTTTTAACTAAAGTACTTCTTCAACTTATTTGCATTCCATGTCCTTTTAATGATTTTCCCTTGCGGAGTCTTCAACACGTAAGCCCCTCTTGACAACTTTTCTTTTATTTTGAATGGACCTTCACGTTTCGGAGCTAATTTTCCTCCAGCCGCGTTACGACCTCCTACGTCAGCTCTACAGAGAACCAAGTCATCTACTTGGAATGACCTAGGCTGCACTTTTTTGTTGAATTGGCTTGCCACAAGTTGTTTAGCTGCAAAGTTTCTACAATGAGCCATAACCCGGGTTTCATTTATCAAATCTAGCTCCACAACCATCTTGTTGTTGTTTTCTTCTTCTGTTTGTGCCAGCGCCTGAACTCTCCTCTAGGACGGCTCTCCCAACTCCACTAGAATCATAGCTTCGCATCCATAAGTAAGCCTAAATGGGCTTTCCCCAGTGGATGTCTGCATTGTTGTTCTATGAGTACACAGTATAGCTCTTCTACCCATTTCCCCTTAGCGGATTGCTCTATTCTTTTCCTCAGTCCTTCTATGATGACTTGATTGGCTGCTTCTGCCTGACCGTTAGTTTGAGGATGCCCTACTGATGCAAAACGATGTCGGATATGAAGGTTTGCCATTAGTTCCTGAAAAACTTTTCTTGTGAACTGGGTTCCATTATCAGTAATTATCTCAACTGGGATCCCGAACCTGCAAATCAAATTTCTTTCAAAGAAATTTTGGGCCCTAGTCGAAGTGATAGTAGCCACTGGCTCTGCTTCTATACATTTCATAAAGTAGTCAACGACCACAATTAACCACTTTAATTGGCCTTCTGCTGCTGCAAATAGACCCAAAAGATCCATTCCTCATTTAAAGAATGGCCATGGTGCCGTGATTAGACTTAATTATTCAGGGGGTGCCAGCAGTTTCTTTCCGTGTTTCTGGCATTGATCACACTTCTGCACATATTCCTTTGCATCATTACTCATTGATCACACTTCCGTGCTTTTCGAGCTAAAGCCTTACCTCCAACGTGCTGGCCATTAATTCCTTCTTGGATTTTAGACAGGACGTATTTCGCCCTAACCGAGCTCAAGCATTTCAACAAAGGTGAATAAATACCCTTTCTGTAAAGTTGTCCTTCCACCATAGTATATGATGCTACATTTTTAACCAACTTCCTGGCTTCCTCCTTTCCCAAGGGTAGCGTTCCATTTTCTAAGTAGTCGATGATGTCGAAACGACAATCATCTACCTTTGATATTTGCATTACGCATGTGGGTTCTGGGATACTCTGCTCAACCACCGTCCTATGATTTTCCCACCCCTTGGTACTTGCTAGTTTAGATAGTATATCGGCCCTGCTGTTTTCATTCCTCGGAATGTGGTTGATATCCAACTGTTCAAATTCTGGAATTAACTTCCTAGTGGAGTCTAAATATTTCCTCAATAGTGGTCCGCTAGCTTGATAACTCCCTTTAACTTGGGACGTAACCAATTGAGAATCACTATAAACTTGCAGCCTTCGCGCTCCGAGTTCCTTAGCCTGCTCAAGGCCGGCTATGAGAGCTTCATATTCTGCTTGGTTGTTTGATGTTTCAAAACCTATTTGCATTGAATATTCAATGGCTATACCCTTAGGGTTCTCGATGATTACCCCGGCTCCACTCCCTTTTGAATTGGAGGAGCCATCTACATACACTTTCCAGGTAGCTGGTCTATCCGAACTCCCAATTTGGATTGAAGTGAGTTCTCTGACAAAATCCGCTAGTGCTTGGGATTTGATTGCTTTACGGCTCTCGAACGTTATATCAAACTCTGACAGCTCCACAACCCAGCTCATCATCCTTCCTGCTAGATCTGGTTTGTGTAGAATTAGTCGAATTGGCAAATCTGACCTGACCAAGATTTTGTGTCCCTGGAAATACGCTCTGAGTCTTCTAGCTGATATCAGTAAGGCAAAAACCACTTTTTCTAACCTCTGATATCTGAGCTCCGCTCCATGTAATAACCGACATACAAAGTAAATCGGTTGTTGTCCTTCTTCATCTTCTTGTACTAGGACCGAACTGATTGCAACATCACCCACAAAGAGATACATTATCAAAGTTTCTTGCTCCCTTGGTTTTGTTAACACTGGAGGATAAGCTAACTGCCTTTTTATTTCTTGGAACATGGCTTCACATTCCGAGCTCCATCCACATTGCACCTCCTTTCTAAGTAACTTGAAAAAACGTAAGGTTGTTTCTGCAGATCGGGGTAGAAACTGGTGAGGGAGGTCAATCTCCCCGTCAATTGCTGTATTTCTTTCTTGCTCGTAGGAGCCTTCATTTCTAGCATGGCTCTGCACATATCCGGGTTAACCTCAATACCTCTGTGAGTTAACATAAATCCGAGGAACTTTCCCGCAAAGACCCCGAAGGCGCATTTCGCTGGATTCAACCGAATGCTATGTCGCCTCAATTTCTCGAAGGTCTGCTCCAAATCCTCCACATGCATTGTTGAATTTAGTGACTTGACTATCATGTCATCTCTGTATACCTCAACACTTTTGCTCAACTGGTCTGCAAACACCTGACTCATCATTCTTTGATAAGTGGCTCCTGAGTTTTTTAACCCAAAAGGCATTACATTATAGCAATAGTTTTCTTTCTCCGAGATGAATGTTGTTTTCTCTTGGTCCTCTGGGTGTAATGGAATTTGGTTATATCCTAAAGAGGCATCCATGAAGGACAACATCTGAAACCCGGATGAACTATCAACCAATTGATCTATATTAGGCATAGGGTATGCATCCTTTGGACATACCTTATTCAGATCGGTATAATTCGTGCATACTCTCCACTTCCCATTTGGATTTTTAACCATTACCACGTTGGATAGCCAGGTGGTATACTGTATTTCCTGGATGAAACCTGCTTCCAGCAGCTCCTTCACGTGATCCTCTAACACATGCTGACGTTCTTGGCTTAGCTTTCTTTTCTTCTGGGCTACTGGCTTAGATCCTGGATACACTGCTAACTTATGGCAACAGAAAGCAGGGTTTACCCCAAAAAATTTTGTGGACCTCCAAGCAAAGACGTCATTGATGTTCTTCAAACATGTGATGAGTTGTTTTTTTACATCGTCTGTCAACCTTTTGCCGATCTTTGTAGTCTGTCCTTGATCTCCGATGGTTACTTCTTCTAACTCTCTGTTGGGTTCAGGCCTCGGCATCTGAGTATCATCCCTCATGTCTAATTTCACCATGTTAACTGAAGTTTTCTCCTTCTGGCTCGGGTCGACCTAACTGTTGCTCCTTTTGATCTCGGCTGAAGGTTTAGATCATTGTCCACCGCTCTAATTGATTTGAAATAACAGTCTCGAGACTCCTTCTGGTCTCCGACGATGGCAATCATTGTGTTTTGTTTTCCAATCATCTTAATTTTATGATGTTTGGTGGAAACTAACATATTCCAACTGTGGATGGTTGGTCTTCCCAATATCACATTGTATTCCGAAGGGAAGTCGGCTACAATGAACCTTACTCTTTTGGATTTGTATGCCTCTTTAGTTCCTAAAATGAGCCTGAGATCAATGTACCCTTTAGGGATGGTGTTACGGCCGTTGAATGCAATCAAGGCAGTGTTGCAGGGCTTCAAGTCTTCGAACGCCTGCCATAGAATTATGTCGGCACAACTGCCGTTGTCCACAAATATCTTATTGACTTTGCAGTTGACTAGCGTTCGCGTAATAACCAATCTGTCAACATGTCTTGGCTTCACATCTTCCAATTCTTTTCTAGTGAAGTATAACAGTGGCGGCTCTGGTTTGGCTTCTTCTTTGAACTTAGGTTGCTCCCGAACCGAAAGCACCTTTCTCAAATATTTTCTCCCGACATTCATAATATCGCCTCCCCCGCCAAAAGCCCCACTAATCACATTGCATTCAAACTCCGGTTCTACAAATTCATCCTCTTCTCTAGCCGGCTTTTTACGTCAGCTTTCTTCTTTGAACCTCTTATCTTTTGGCGGACTCATAGGTCGGACCCTTCTTTTCCTGTTATTCCTCCATCCTTGAGTCCTTATTAAATATTGACGCATCTTCCTGTCTCTGATATATTTTTCAATCGCATCCCTCAGATCCCAGCATTCATATGTAGTGTGCCCATGCCCATCATGAAATGCACAATACCGAGATTGGTCCAACCCGGCTTGGTTAAGCAAAGGCCAAGGTCTATCTACCTTCTTCATCTCGGTGGAGGCCACCTCTCTCCAGATTTGTGACCTGGATGAATTTAATGGTGCGTACTTCTCGAATCTTCCCCTTGCTGGAATTATTTCGTCCTCCCTTTTACCCCGGAATTCATTTTGCCTTCGACTTTCGGGTGTCTCTATTTGGTTAAGATGGTGCTTCTGATCCATATTCTCAATTTCCATATGTTCAAGCTCGAGATACTTCTTTGAGCGCGCTGTGAACTGTACCAGCGTTCGAACCGGATCTTTGTATATAGACTTGGCCAACCTAGAGGAGCCATGCAATCCTGCTATTACCAGGTGCAGATGAACGTTTTTGGACAGTCTGGAACCTGCAAGGCTGCCATTTTGAAACAATCCAAATATTTTTGCAAGGTTTCACTAGGTTGCTGTCTTATTTTCACCAGGGCGAATTCTGACTTCGGTTGTTTTTTGCTAGTTGCAAAGTTCAGCAGGAATCTTTCACCAAATTCTTCAAAAGATCTGATGGACCCCGCTAGTAATGATGAAAACCATGTTTAAGCCGCTTCTGTCAGCGTTGTCGCAAAAAGTCGTGTGATCAAAGGTTCTTCTATCCCTTTGATGTACATAGTCGTGTCGAAGGCATCCAAGTGTACATGGGGATCTTGCGTTCCGTCGTACTTGAGGAGCTCTGACAAATTCAGATTTTCTGGAAAGGGTGCATCAACAATCTCGTCCACGAAGGGACTATCATTGTATTGCCCCCTGTTGTACTTTCTCCTGTAAACCCTGGACATGTCATTCGGGTTCCTGAGAGGGTGCCCGTCGGGCATGAGATCCATTTGCCTCGTCGTACCTCTTCTACCCCGGCTTCCTCCATGCCGAGGTTCTTGATTACGAACCGGGTTAGTAACAACCCTTTGAGGTCGGCCATCAACATTTCTAGCTTGACTCAGGGCTCGCCCATTGTTGTTTTGTTGGGGATTCGTGATCCTTAGGTCAGTCATCACCTGCGTTATAGCTCGTTCGGGATCTGGGTTGGAGACTCGCCATAGTCGAGTTTCCAACTCTCGAATATGTCTTGGATCTTCTTGCCTCTGAAGCTCATTCCTTCTCTCCATCTCCTCCATTCTTTGCAGCACTGGTGCGATAGCTTGATCTGTCACCCGTGGATCATTAGTTGCACCGTTTGGCATCTGCGCAGCATTCACAACTTGCTCTACAATTGGTTGTAGCCCTTCTACATACGGGGCAGTTGGGTTAACCGCCGGAGTCGATGCTGAGTCAGAGTGCACATCACTGACGTGCATAGCATCGGTGTTTGGGATCTGCTGCTGACGGTCCTGGAGGATGTATTGCCCTGATGGATCCTCCCTGATGGGGGGAACGGGTTGATGTCTGGGATTCGACATTGAGGGTTGTCGAAAACCGCTCCTGGTCGTCCTTACCATTTTTTATTAGCGGCTTTTGACCACGTAATCGTGAGTAAATTTCCCACAGACGGCTTCAATGTCCTGCCTAAGGCAAATATGTCTAACCGTTGGTTAGATGGTTGATTTTGGATATAGTGCTTTCTCTCTAGATACCTATGAATACTTGAGGACAACGAATCACTACACACTATATGATGGCCTTAACCAGAGGGGGTGTGCGCGCTGTGTGATTGCGTAAAACAGGGCTAGAAAAAGATCAGTCGTACTTGTGGTCTTTAGCTCATATTTATAGTGCTTGCCTTTGAGCTTGTATTGCTTGGGCCTTCTATGGATATGGGCCTTACTCGGGTCCATAACAGTTATATTAACAACCTATTTTCATTTACAATCTCTTACAACCATATCTTAACCGTTGATTTTCGTCAATCAATGGTTATCATTTATTGTGAATTAATAATTAATTAATAAATTTGATTTGCGAAAATCTTAATCGTTGATTGCCGAAAATCAAGGATTAAGATATGGTTGTAAGATATTGTAAACGAAAATAGGTTGTAAGTATAACCTTCCCCTAGTTTTATTTATGCTTTGTAGCACAAAAATATTTTAGGGTGTGTTTGAATGTATTTTTTTAAAAAAAAACTATTTAAAACATAAATTTTGAAAACTGATTTTGAGAGTAAAAAAATAATAAATCTTGTTTGAGCATAGTTAGTTGTAAAGTTATAAAAACTTATAATTATTTACAAAAATATATTAATGGAGTTTCATAATACAATATTACCACCGCAAAGTAATTTAAAATTAAAAAATATATATTTATTTACCTAAATGCCATTAGTAAATCCCCATGTTTACAAGAATGTCACCGCCAAAACAAAAGAAAAAATAAAATAGCTTTTGAAAACATCCCTAAGTTGTTTTTCTTTTTTAGTTTTTAAAAGTAAAACTGATTTTACGGAATACTCTTATAAATAACTTTTTTTTATTTTATTATTTTTAAAATTAAAAAATTGTTTTGCAGAATAGAAATCAAACTGTGCCTTATTATCCTAATCTTAAATATTTGCACAACAATTTTGGTAAATTATTTTTTTGAAAAAAATAATATTAACAAAATTAATGACACCGAGTAGATATAAGTTCAATATTTTTTTGAAAAGTCGGTAACTTTAAACATGAGAAAATTCATTATCCTGGAGTAGATATAAGTAGCAAGTGATAAAGTTATCTTCTGTGAGCTCAAAATGACGTCATTTTGGGGTTATAAGATTAAAAAATTATAATGATATAGACTAATATAACCTTGTAATATATTAAAATTATAAAAATACCTTGATTTTTGTCTTAAAATGATGTCGTTTTGGCCTTTTTGGGCTTACCGGAGATAACGTATCTCCGTTGAAAGATTAAAAAATTATAATGATAAAAACTAATATAATCTTGCAATATATTAAAATTACAAAAACACC